TTTCCTAAAGTGCATCCCAAAATCGGGAGCGTTGGGGTCTCTTTTCCTTTTTGCCGCATGTCACATGTCCTCATCGTGAAATCTGGAGGCTCCGATCCTGAGAAGCCAAATCCGAGTTCCCTAAACCCATCCCCTAAAAACTACGACCTAAACCGAGGGTTTAGGGTTTAGGGGAAAGGGTTTAGGGTTTAGGGCCCCAAATGCGGACAGGAGTATTTTCCGGCTTGTCCTGGAGCGATCGAAGCCTCCCAGAGGATTGAAACGATGGGGTCGCTAACATGTAGCCCATGACCCCAGACGCTAAATCCCCAATATAGGAGCCTCAATAATTACCTAGACCATGTTGCTAGCGGATCCGTTCCAAAGGGAGTTATTGGTGAGACGGCCAAAAGCCTTGCCTCGGCACATAGTGGTTTGTTTCCTTTGCTAGGCATCGCACGGAACTGTCCTTGAAAGCGTTTTGTTACGGTTAAGCTTTCGTTGCTTTTCATCCTGGGGCGGTTGCAGCACGCGAAACTAGGGGCCAAGTGAGCCACTTCGTCTAGTACGCCAGGATCTCGTCCCGAGTGCTCGTAGGGTCCGGGAAAGTGTTGGGCGTCCATGTAAGCCGACTGAGTCCCGTTTATCCCAGTCGTCTAGGAGAACAAACGCTTTTGGTCAAGGGAGTGTCAGTCCGCAACGGCCTTTTTGTCTCTCCTGCCTCGCGGATCCGTTCCAAAGGGAGTTGTTGGTGAGCATGCCCAAATCCATGCCTCGACACGTCGTTCGTCGTAGCTTGATTCCTTAGCTAGCCATCACACGGAACTAAAAGAATCCTGTCCTTGAGCACCGTTTCTTAAGCTTTAGTTGCTTTTTATCCTGGGTCGGCTCCAGCGAGCGAAACTAGGGACCAAGTGAACCGCCTTTATTTAGTACACCACGATCTCGTCCCAATTGCTCGCAGGGTCTAGGAAAGTGTTGGCGGTCCATGTAACACGACATAGACACCATGGAGCTCCGGGGATAATTTCCTGAGAACGAACCAACTGCACCGGTCGAATCCATGTCGTAACGCTGCTCTGAGTCGGTTTAGAGGGTTGCTAGGAATCTCTAGGATTCTCTAGGAAT